GAATTCACCCATTCCCATCCATTTTAGTTCACTGACACTCAGGATGTCAATGTTTATTCTTGCCATCTCCTGTTTGACCATATCCAGCTTACCCAGGTTCATAGATCTTACATTCCAGGTTCCTGTGCAGTATTTTTCATTGCAGCATCAGACTTTCCTTTCATTTCCATGCACGTCCGCAGCTGAGCGTCCTTTCGGCTTTGGTCCAACCACTTCATTAGCTCTGGAGCTACTTGTACTTGCCCTCCGCTCTTCCTCAGTAGCATGTTGGACGCCTTCCGACCTGTGGTGATCATCTTCCAGCGTCATATCTTTTAGCCTTTGGTTTCTGTCCATGATGGGGTTTTCTTGGCAAAGATACTGGAGTGGCTTGCCAGTTCCTGCTCCAGGTGGATCGTGTTTAGTCAGAACTCTCCACTATGACCTGTCCGTCTTGGGTGTCCCTGCACGGCATAGCCCATAGCTTCTCTGAATTACTCAAGCCCCTTTGCCACAACAAGGCAGCAATCCATGAAGGGAGAAAGGTCTTTTTAGGGATCGTTAATTTGTAGGGCTACCATGAATCAAAGGCAATTTCACAACACATAACAAGAAATCTTGCTGGTGTCTGCAGATCCTCCTAAGGCTTCTTCAGTGTCCTGTTGAACAATATGGAATAAGGGGGAGTGGGCAGGGAGACCTGTGCATGATCTGGTAGATGAAATTTTAGAGGGCACAGAAAATGAACAGAGCAGTGGGGACAGGAAACCTTCATTCCACGATTTCCCCTCTGTCCGCTTCTTTCAGATCAGAGGATACATCCAGACAAAGCTGCCCATGAACTAATTTTTTTTATGGGAACAGACCCAAATAATATTGTAACCATGCCTTTTTTCTTTTCTTTTTTTCATCCCATGCCAACAGCCACTAGTAGAGATGTACCGTTCGGATTTTGTGGACTCCAAATCCCAAAATTTTCCAATAATTTTCTAAGCAGAATTCTGGGAGATCCAGCCCACAGACCCATACCTACAGACAATCTCAATTTTGCTCACCTGGACCAGGACCTAACTTGAAAATCCCTGGCTGTTTGGGGTCTGCTTCTTGTTGGTGATATACAAAAACAGAATCTGCTGCAGTGCCTTCTGGGTGTCATAATTCTTTGGGAAGCTTCCTCTATAGAGCCTAAAGGGCAATGAGATTACAAGTCCCAGAAAGCACTTTGGCAACCTTTTCTTTAGAAAACAGCCAATAGATAGCCGTGGTGCCTCTAAGATCGGCCTTGGTCCAGTTGAGCAAATTTTAGATGTCTTTCATGTGCCTGTAGGTGCAGGACTAGAACTCCCAGAATACCACCTAGGAAATTCTTCAAGAATACTGGAATTTGGAGTAGAAAGAAAATCTAAATGGGACATCCTTAACTGCCAGTCAGATGAAGCATTATCTGCAGACAGTTTGCCGAGAGTTAAGCACATTGCTGTAACATGCGACGAGAGAGCAAGTGTTATAGTGAGGGAATCGTTTGTGGTTTTATGTAAACTCTGAGGCAATGGGTTGCTAGGACCTGCAGCCTTAAACCATATTCCTCTCTGTCTGTGGTTCTTAGTAGAATTTTCCCTCTGGTTTGCTGTGCATTTCTCAACCCCTCTGATGCAGCTAATGATGTGGATTAGGAGCACAGTGTAATGACCTCAGAACGTGCGGAACGTCATACCAAGAGAAAACGCCTTTCCTGCATATCACAGGGTTGTTCCAGTGGTGGTGTTTTTCAGAGTAATTAAAACAAGAAACTGCAGAACTGGATGCCATTAATCAGTGTGAGATTTTGCACACAATTGACACATCCCATTATTCTCTTCTGATTTGAATCCTTAATTGGTATTTTTTTTTTACTTATTTTCTTGTATGGGTTGTTAGCGGGTAGCATTAAAAAAAAAGCTTACTAGTTTCCCTGCTACAAAAGTCTCCATTATACAATATTAATAAAAAGAGAGAGATAATGGGCCCATAGAATGAATTCTTGTATTTGCAGTACAGTGGGGTCTTGACTTGAGAACTTAATCCGTATTGGAAGGCGGTTCTCAAGTCAAAAAGTCTGTAAGTCAAGTCTCCATTGACCTACAGTGCATTGAAAACCGATTAATCCCGTAACAGGCCGTTTTTGTTCCATTTTGGTTTTTTTCTGGTCTGTAAGTTAAATCTCAGTCTGCAAGTCAAACCTAAATTTTGCGGCCAGAGAAGTCTGTAACTCAAAAAGTCTTTAAGTCAAGCCGTCTGTAAGTCAAGGGTCCACTGTACATTGGCAATCGCCACACCTCTCACAGTTAGAAGTTGCTCTTGTGCGTGACGATTCACACGATGGCTTGACAACTTTTTGTCTCGTCTTCCATATTTCTGTATTCGTGATGTTTCAGCATGAACAATATGGAGTTCTGCTAAACGTAATACATTCCCTATGGGGAAGAAAAGTATGGCTGCTCCTTTGAGTGAGAGAAGAAGGGGGAGAGAAGTGTGCGTTCTCTGGAGGTATATGTTCCCAGTCCACGAGGAGTGGTAACGGCCTTTGTACAGCCAATGGGAAATTAATTTTAACAGTGCTGTTCTCAAAACCGGTAGAGCAGTCCATTTTATTGAGCAGAGACAAAAGATTCTCTAGGTCGGCGGATGTCGAACTGTCCACCACAACACCAGAACCAGAACTCCATGTTCATTCATAAAGTTTATAAGAGTGATGTCTAGAGATCTCTAATTCAAAAGTATACTTTGACTACTCCATCCAGAATGGAAATGAAGCCTAAATAATGTATTTCTGGGCTGCCAATCTAAAAATATATACGTTGTATGGAGCAAGTGTTTCCCAACCTTGAGTAAGCCAGATGTTCTTAGACTACAGTTCCCAGAAGCCTTCACCACCAGCTGTGCTGGCCGAGGTTTCTGGGAGCTGCAGTCGAAGAACACCTGGCTTGCCCAAGGTTGGGAATCACTGTTACAGAAAACCATTGTTCATTCTAAATCTGCAAGTGCAGTCTAGAGACTGAAGGACAGTGAACATCATACATTCTGCAGGATAACATTTATTATTTATTTATTTTTAGTATGTCTCAGTGGAATCAAGTCCAGCAATTGGAAGTAAAATACCTGGAACAAATAGATCAGATCTACGATGACAAATTTCCCATGGAAGTACGACACCTGTTAGCACATTGGATTGAAGGCCAGGACTGGTAAGCTCAAACGCTGCATGTGTTTTGACTCTGCAGAAGTGGATGCAGATGGAGTGCCAGTAGGACAGTCTCAATTTCACCATATTTGCCTCCAAAGATACTTCAGGCTTAGTTTGATGTAGGACCCAGTCGTTTAGTTAGGCAAATGGCGGGATATAAATGTGTTAAACAATGAATTGATAAATTTGAATGGGTTTGCCTTATTTGGAACCAATGCTACAGGGATCAAATACCTTGATAATAAACTGTCCGATGGAATTTCAGAACAAAAGCAGTAAGCAAGGCCGAAAAACAAAGGTGTTTCAAAAAGCTGTTAAAAGTTTTAAAAAACATAAACACCTTTCTGTTGGCCCCTTCAACTTACTCATATGTTTACTTAATGTTTGGCTAGTCATATTCCGTGTGGGTAGAATTGCAGTCTTAAAATGAAGAAAATGCAAAACGTATTCTTTCCAAATCCTTCAATCTAAGGCCTTGTCTTTCTCTTGAAGAAGCAGTTTTGAAAGCTTTAACGACCACTGTTTCCTTTTTCCATGCATCTGTTTTTGTTTTTATAACGCAAATCTTGTGTTGCACAGGGAATCTGCATATAACAACGAACCCATGGCAGCCATTCTTTTGCAAAACTTACTAATAAAGCTGGATGAGCATTTAGACCGAGTTTCCCAAGAGAAGAATCTCCTTTTGGTACACAATCTGAAAAGAATCAGGAAGGTTCTTCAGGTGAGACGGATGCTACTCACTGCCCTCTCCCCGTTCCTGCATGTGCACCTTCACTTGTGGAGTAGCTGGCTGGCCTCTGGCTGCGGAGCCAAAGATTGGGAGTCCAGTTCCCCCCACTGTGCATTCCAGAAAAACCAGCCTGGGTAGCTTTGGGCAAGCTGCAGAGTTTCAGCAACAATCCCCCCCCTCCACCGCCACTCAAACTTAGGAGCTGCTGGCACTTCCTGTTACTGCTTTTCATCGTTTGGAAAGAGAAAAAAAAGGGTGTGAAATGAAATGTGACTGCAGGTAACATTTAGTGTAAATATCTAGACCACAGATCTTTGTGTCACCCCACAAAGATTACGAGGGCACCTTTCAGTCCCTCCCAGTTTTTTCCTGTAGTGTATAGAACGGGGTCCTCTGAGAGCTGGAAGAAGACCGTACATGAGGTTTCAAACTCCTCTCCGTAAACTGGGATGGTAAAATACATTTGCTGTGCTTACAGAGGGAGGGTTTCTTCTTATGCAAGACCATCATGGCAACAAAAGTCTTAGCACTGTTGAGGAAGTGGATGGGTGAGGCGTGGGAATCAACAACACCTGTGGCTTAAAAGCAATGCTAGAACTGCATTTGAGGTTTTAAAAATACTTCCTCTTGCTGACCTAGATTTAAAATAAATTCCAGATACACTATACGCGAGTAGCTTTCAACAACGCTAACTTTATCTCAGACAGTTTTTCAGGCTTTTACTACCAAACCCTTACAGTGGTGGGTCAAGACATTTTGCCCTCTGAGATGGAACGCCGAGGGACACCCCTCTAGCCACAAATTAGGGGCCTGTGAGGAAAAGCAGACCCAAATAAAAGGCGTCAGCTGCATTTATGGGCTTTGTTTTACTTCCTGCCAACAAAGAGCAAAGGGAAAATAGCTACTGCAGCTATCAAAAGGAAGAATTCAGTCCTGTGTAGAATGTGGAATTATGGGCCATTAAAGTCTGTGGCCTAAAACACGCACAACATTAAAATCACTGACGGGTGAAGTGGATAGGATTGATTATATTGCTACCATGGTACCAGTCAAGGGGTTCTCCTCTGGACAGTGTTCTCCTGGGAAACCTCAGGTCCTGGCATTCATGTGGATGTTACTTTGATATGTATGACCTACTTAGAGATTGTTGCAGACCATGTGCACCCCTTCATGGCAACGGTGTTCCCTGATGGCAGTGGCCTCTTTCAGCAGGATAATGCACCCTGCCACACCGTAAAACATGTTCAGGAATGGTTTGAGGAGCATGACAAAAAGTGCAAGGCCTTGGCCTCCAAATTCCCCCAGATCTCAATCTGATTGAACATCTATGGGATGCGCTGGAACCCCAAGTCCGATCCATAGAGGCCCCACCACCCAACTTGCAGGACTTAAAAAGATCTGCTGCTAATGGCTTGGTGCCAGATACCACAGGACACGTTCAGAGGTCTTGTGGAGTCCATGCCTTGATGTATCAGAGCTGTTTTGGCAGCACAAGGTGGGACCTACACAATATTAGGTGGGTGGTTTTAATGTTGTGGCTTATCAGCGTAGATAGAGTGGGGTGTGGTTTTAATGTTGTGGCTGATCAGCGTACATAGAGTGGGGCCAGCTATACTTTATTTCTTCTTCTTAAAAGCATGTTTAAACTGAGCAAAAGCTTGGGGAAGTTATTTCTTCAGGATGATAGCACCCAGAATCCGCAAGCCAGCATGGCACTGGGAATTCTGGGAGCTATAGTCCCCAAAAGGAACTTTTCTCCAGGTCCTAGAACAGTAGCCACTTTCATTTTAAAGAAAAAGCAGCCTTGGGGGGGGCTCTTAACCAGAACATAACCATTGATCGTGATGGGGCCCTGTGTTGCCCTCCATGGTGGTTTGCTTGCAGTTATGCTATAAAACATATTTAGGATGAGATAGTATGTCCTAGGGTGCCCCCAGAAGAAGGGAAGGGTAAACCAGTTCTGCATATTCTTTACCTGAAAAATCCTGAAATGGGCTGTTGTAAGTCAAAATTGCCTTGACAGTACATGATTATTGTGTGTCTGGGGATTTGGGGAGAAAATTACTGCAGGACCCCTGATTTGGATCAGAAGCAATATTTTAGATGCGGTCACGCCTCTACATATTCTTTTTCCTTTGAGATAAAAATGTTTACCTTAATATATAAGAATCAGTATATGCAGTCTTATGGAAACTTGTGTCTCCCTTGCTTTTTGTGTGTGTGGGATGCATGTCCTCTGTTTTTTTATGCTGTATAAATCGCCCACCCTAATACCCCTCCATAGAGTGGATCCAAGACTCAGGAAGCTGAACAGACTCGGTGAGAGGAGGCAGGAAAGGAGGACAAAAGATTGGTGCTGAATAAAAATACTTTAAGAGATTTCAGCATGTAATGAATGTGTGTTGGTGTAGGTCCCTCCCTTCATGTGCAGAGCATTTAAAAAAAAAAAGTTAAATGAAACATCTAACATTCCAAAACGTCACACTGTCTCACGGTGAACAAATTCTCTCAAACAGGAGCAAAAGTTTCGTACAAGAGAAGCTTGAATGTCCTGCACATTTGTTTGTTTTTAGAGTTTTACAAATAAATTGCTGGATAGCTCTGTGGTTAATTCTCAGGCTTGGAGCCAGAAGTTAGGAGTTCGATTCCCCCCCCCATCTGTGCTTCCTTGGCAGGGCCTGGACGCGATGACCCCTCAGGGTTCCTTCCAGCTCTGCAGTTCTAAGATCAATTTATGATGGATGAATGACCTAAATCTATTGAAGTCTTTTGTGCCATGCAGGACATCTCATCCCCTTTTAATGTCTTCCCGATTTGATGCTGTTTTTCCCCACCCTTGCCATTTCACAGGTAGAGAGAAACAATGGCTGGACAATAGGTGTGGGGCCCTACTCTGTCTTCTTCAATATTGAACTTCATTTTGTCATTCCACTTAACAGCAGCCAGGGCCCAGAACTTTTATTCTTAATTGAGGCAGCTTAGGGTTATTTTAGTAATGAAGGTTGCATTCAGTGCATATGAGTTGAGACAAATGTTGGGACTGAGGTCTTCCTACTTACAAATGAACTCCCTGAAAGAAAGGGGTGAGAAACAGGGTTGTGGAAGAGCAAATATGGAGAAGGAGAAAAGTGAGACTTGTCAAAAACCACCCCTGACAATTGCTTTGTGTTTGGGTAAGAAGTGGTTAAAAGATTTTTAAAAAGGAGCGAACTTCTGGGATTTCCCCTTGGGTGGTGTCACTTTGTGGATGGCAGTGAGCACAAGAGGGCGTCCTGCAGACCACCTGGACTGCTGCCCATGTTGTCAACATGCCACCTGGCCATTGCTATGCAGACCTTGGTATCCTTTTTCCTGCAGGCAACATGGACACAATATTGTGCAGCGATTATTGGGCCATTTTCTGGCATTTTGAATCATGGGCACAGAAGTACAGTATCCTACATTGATACAGTAAACCAGGGTTTTTTTGTTTGTTTTTGGAAGAACTGAATGATCTCTGGAGCCAAGAATGGCCCTCAATCTCTGTGACCTCAGGATTACAGAATCCTTAAGAGATTTTTTTCATCCTGGCTATGGAGATATTTATTTATGTTTAATAATTATGTTACCCTTTGATCCAGCAAAATCTCTTAGACATTTTTACATTATTTTCAGGCAGTGTTATGTATCAGCTCAGGCTGGACTGTTTGTCATGCTTGCATATTCTTTGGGTTTTCTTCCTCCTTCAGGCAAAATATCAAAGTAACCCTGTGCACATAGCAGTGGTTATTTCAAACTGTTTAAGAGAAGAAAGAAGAGTGTTGGCTTCAGCCAGCATGCCCGTACAGGTAACTCTGTTTTTTATTTGATTATCATATTTGCTGAAACAAAAAAACTGGAATCCAGAGCACCTGTGCACATGTAACAACACTGATGTCAGTGGGTCTGAGCCCACACAACTTTGTGCTGGTTGCAGTCCTAGGACGTTTGAGCCTGTACTTGAGCCAAGACTGTAGGCAAATTTTGTACCCTCCTGTCTTCACAAATGGAGAGAATGACAATTTTAATGTACTTAATCTGCAGCCCTGTTGTCCCAGCAAGAATCATTGCTACTGAGCACTCCACTCTATAGATTCCTCCCTTAACCTGCAGCATGTTGGATTGGTATAAGTTGCAAGAACCAGTTCTGCACCAGCTTTAGGCAAAGTTTGAAACGGTTACTTTTTTGGATTATGTTGGCTGGGCAGTTCTGGGAACTGCATTCTGAAAAAGGTAATGTTGACTTTAGAAGCAGCCTACATTAACTGACATATCTTTAAAACATTTAATTCCACAATAGGTACTGTAACTAGTGTAGAATCATGGTGAGATCCAGTGTGGTGTAGTGCACTGGTTCTTAACCTTGGGTTACTCAGGTGTTTTTGGACTGCAACTCCCAGAAGCCTTCACCACCAACTGTGCTGGCTGGGGTTTCTGGGAGTTGCAGTTCAAAAGCATCCGAGTAACAAAGGTTAAGAACCACTGGTGTAGTGGACAGAGTGATGGATTCAGGAGGCCTGGGTTGAAATCCCTGTTGGCCATGGAAACCCACAGGGGATTAGTGCGGTAAAACTATTGCTTAAATATCTTACATACCTTGAAAACAATATAACTGTTGCTGTGAGTCACTGTGACTTGACGGCACATAAAAACAGAATTACGGTAAGTTCAATACATTCAACAGTACTTACTAACTGGGTGAGAAGTTTGGAGTGGAGTGGTTTTTTTTTTATCCTTATCCATAGATGTGAATCAAATGTAGACTGACAAGCTAGGGAAGAGTGGCCATATTGCTCACAAGGTAAAAACTGTAATTAAATTACATTTAGATAAAAGGGAAGACTCATTTATATTTAATCAGCATTTAAATTTTATGTTGCAAAGCTGGAAAATCTCACCTATGATTTTACTTTCCCGTTCTGGCTTACCCTTGTTTTAAGTGAGAGAAGAAAACGGTTCTGTGAATGTTGGAAAACCCATTCTCACACACCCGTGTCAGATTAGAGGTTTACTCCATCCTCACCTCTCACATGCAGCTTACTGCCATGTGAAGTGTAAGGAATCAGAAAAGCCCATAGATTTCTCACACAGCAGACATTCCTGGTAAGCTTTTCTTTGCTGGCCCTGGGACTACCCACCTCAGGAGAAGGACAGAACAAGGGATGTGTGGACACATTCCAGAAGTTGGGTTAGTCCCTTAGAGGGATAGTTAGGGCCCTTGGCTTTGTAAAGTCCAGATGCATTATGTGTGCATATTCTGAGGGCGGCAGAGGGAGACCAACATAATCTAATGCATTGATTGATCCGGTGTGAGAAGCTAAAATACCCATTGTGTAAAGACTGTCAGTTGCTTTAAACATTCATAGAAATTCATACTTCTAGATAAAGATAGTAATCTTAAACTTTAACATTTCTGTGTAGAGCTCTACCACCTTTTCTTCTCCTAGGGCTCCTGTTCCTGTCATAGCTGTACACAGCTAGAAATGAAAACTGAAGATGATCTTAAATTGTATACTAACCCTCTGCCCACACGCAAACTTGCTTAAGCACCACAAACACTTGACGCAAGACACTAGGGAAATGTCCACAAGGATAAGTAATAGTATAGCAGTTATCAGTAGCAGAATGAACGTTCAACCAGAGTTCTGGGCGAAGCCTTTCCTTCAGACATACATGGATAGGTTCTGTAAACAAATATGGTCTTGTATGAAGATTTAAATTCCTTTATAACATGAGTTTTGGGTTTTTACATCTAATGTGAGAGGCTAAGAATTTCTTCTGATGTTGCCCTATTTACACTTGGAGAACTGTATCATCCAAAGGGCAGATACCACTGGTCAAACCAGGCATGCCATCTGAGAAATCAGTTCAGAGAGGATTTAGACCGTAGCTAGGTCTATCCTTCCATGTTAAAAGATTTCCCTCCAGAAGTGATGTGTGGAGTACTTGTCATGAATAAAAACATTCCATTCGGAAGCCATCTTTGGAAAAGAAAGCTATCAAGCCAAAGAATGTAGTCCTAGACCGGCTTCCTTTTACTTCCCTGTGGCTGCTTATTCAGTGTTGAAAGGGATATGGTTCCAGAGCTCATTTGTAAATTGTCTTTCTCTCCCTTTTTTTCTTGCTTTAGGGGCCTCTAGAGAAGTCATTACAGAACAACCTGGGTTCAGAAAGACAAAGAAGCATTGAGCACAAGGGGTCCGCAATTAAGAATAGTGCGCAGGCAAGTTCCTGCGATTTCCACATGGGCACCAAAGGACAGTAATCCTCGAAAGAGGAACTGATATATTTTGTCTGTCAGAACTCTGCTGGTAGACTAAGGCTACGGCTGTATTGACAAGCCAAACTGGAGCAATTCGGTTGTGTTGCGATTCAATTCACAGCCCATCTTCTGCTTCCATTTGCTTTGAGTGGTCACAGAGTGGTTGTGGATCGATTCAGATCCATTGTCCTCCTTGGCTTCTCAAGGTGCAATCCCCTTTTCATCCCTTAGCCCTTTTCCTTTTCCACCTCTGCTGAACCTTTTAGGTTCCACATTTTTTAAAAAAAAGTCCTGTAGAGGTAATATAGCACTAAACTACTACAGTGGTACCTTGACTTACAAACTTAATCCGTATTGGAACGGCATTCATAAGTCGAAACATTTGTAAGTCGAAGTACCATTTCCCACTGAAATGCATGGGAACGGGATTGATTTGTTCCAGCATTTCAAAAAAATACAAAAAATAAAAATAATCAGAGCAAGTCGCACGCTGGGACTGCAAAAACAAAAACAACTCCCTCCAAATCCAAAAACAACACAGCAGAGAAACATAACCCCTCAGTCAAAATCCACCCTCCAAAAACCCACCCAGAACAGTGTTTTAAAAAGGAATTACCAGTCCGAAGCCTCCTGGCGCTCTGTTGCACCCGGAGGCAAGTGGCCAAGCACCCAGCCAGCTCAAGCCTTCCGGTGCTGGGTGACCGCAGTGGCGGGGGACCCCCAAGAGGTGTCCGACGGTGGCGGGGAAGCCCTGAAAGGTCCCCCAGGGCTTCCCCGCCACCATCGGAGACCTTCTGGGGGTTCCTTTTCCTAACCATTGGGGCGAAAGAGCAGCCTCTTCGCCACCAACGGTTTGAATGGAATGAAAACAGGTGGGAAATTTGAATTTCCCACCCTTTTCCCCTGCCTTTTTTTCATTCGCAAGTTGAGGCTCCGTTCGCAAGTCGAAGCAACATTTTGCGACCTGAGCCATTCGTACCTCGAAACTTTCGCAAGTGGAGAAGTTCATAAGTTGAGGTACCACTGTGTAGTAATGCAGTAATTCAGTGCTGAACTCGTTTTTTCAAAAAATGGCGACAGATCTCACAGTGCCTAAACATCACACTCCAATTGCTGCATTCCACACCACCACACACAGATATGCTGCCTTGTCCTTCTGCAGGATGAAAGACTTGATCACACAGAGGAAGAGTGTTTGAATCATTTAGCTTCAAAAAACTAGAACTCCCCAGTGGCAGAAAAAGGCTGGATTCATTCAAATTGGCTATTGCATCATGTGATCAGTAAAAACAACCCACCAAATTCATTCATTTTGTAACCTGAGCAAGTCCTATGGCATTTGACTGGGTAGTCAAAGCCTGGGGCTGTTTCTGCCTCCATAGTGGGACAGTGTGGTGGTTTAGGTCTCTGGCTGCAGAGCCAGAGGTTGGGAGCTTGATTCCCCTCTGGGCCTTCCTTGACAGGGGGTGAATTCAATGGTCCATAGGGCCCCTTCCAGTTCTGCAGTTCAAAGATTATTAATGTGCTCAGTGAGATGGTATAACATGTTGTACTGCTTTGGACTTGCAAGTGGGCACAGTATCACAGTAAAGAAACACATCTTACGAACAGAAAATGAATAGATCCAGGGTGAAAGATTTTATTACAGTTGTTTGCAAGCATTGCCATCTTTCTGTTTTGGTGGCATTCGTATAGAAGAGCATGTAGCCTCCCTCATGTGCAAACTGAAGTGGTGCAGTACAGTGGGGTCTTGACTTGAGAACTTAATCCATATTGGAAGGCGGTTCTCAAGTCAAAAAGTCTGTAGGTCAAGTCTCCATTGACCTACAGTGCATTGAAAACCGATTAATCCCGTAACAGGCCGTTTTTGTTCCATTTTGGGTTTTTTCTGGTCTGTAAGTCAATTCTCAGTCTGCAAGTCAAACCTAAAATTTGCGGCCAGAGAAGTCTGTAACTCAAAAAGTCTGTAAGTCAAGCCGTCTGTAAGTCAAGGGTCCACTGTATAGTCCATTTGCCCACCACCCCAGGAGCCCCATGGAACTTTTCCCTCACTTGTTTTCAGTAGCAATAATTCCCTGTTGTGCCTTATCATAGTAACCATGTTGTGTCAAGGCGAAACTGTCCATTAATGGTAGCATGTCCCTAGAAGCAGGAATCCATTCATATTCCTGAGAAGCACTTGAAGCAGACCTTTGTGGGTGAGCCATCATCCTTGAAAACAAAGCTTGTTCTTACCTCCCAGTGACTAAATCACAAAGCTAATTTGTAACCTATCCATTCTTTTTATTTCTCTTGTTTCCCTTTAATTCTAAAAGTATTTATTTATTTTATTTAAAATATTTTTACCCTGACTTTCTCCTTAAAAGGACCCAAGGTAGCTTACATAATTAAAAAGACAATATTTAAAAGCTAAAAACAGTAAGTATACAAATATTTTTTAAAAATTAAACAAGCGTTAAAATAAAACATGGTAAACGAAATCAATACTAATAACACATTTAAAAGCAGCAGAGCTCAACAATCCGTTTTCAAAATCCGTCTCAGAATGTGGCTTTTCATTTTTAAACATCTGAATTTTAGGGTAAGGTTTTTTTTTTTCTTTTAGAACTCTTTAATCTTTGATGAAGACTAATAAATACATAAGTTTATATAAACTAACTAAAGGCCTCTGGAGTGGTGAAGTAAGAATTTCACCATGATATCTGTACCGCTATACACAAACAAGAGTTTTGAATCTGTTATGTTTAATTGTTACTGTGGCTTCCCAAACATTGGGAATAATATTAGGTTCACTTGCCATAAAATAACTTCTGTTTTGTGAAACAGATGACTGAGCAAGATGTCAAATATTTAGAAGATTTACAAGAGGAGTTTGACTTCAGATATAAAACAATACAAAGCCTAGGTAAGCTTTTCCATAAAATGCTTTGAAGGAGAAATGTTGATTCTGATTTTGCATGAATATAAACTTGAGTTTATAAAACCAGTGCAGCAGAAATAGCTGATGCTGCGAAAGGTCTAGGGCAGTGATGGCGAACCTATGGCATGTGTGCCACGGCTGGCACGCGAAGCCCTTTCTTCTGGCACACAGCAGACCTTTTGAAGTGGCTGCAGCTGGGATTTCCCCTTTCTCTTCCTGTTCTGGGGCCTTTAACTTCCTGTCTGTCCCCATGATTCCCCCTTTAACTTCCTGTCTGTTCCTATGATTCGCCCTTTAACTTCCTGTCCGTCCCCATG